ATTGGGAATGTACTTAATCATATATTTTACCTGCATCACTATATGTGGGAGGTTTCACCTGAGCTTTCTTCTTTGAGGATAATGAAAGAGAACGTCTGTGTCCTCTTCTCTGGGGAATTTCATCAACCAAATGTCTCTCCACTAGAAAATCAATATTGTCCGATTACTACGTAATTAGACGAACAAATAAAATGACTTGTGAAATAATGTTACAGATTGTACAAGAGACATTACCTAAGAATACAGCCCTCCTTCTCCTGAGGTGTCGTACCTTGGAGCTCAACACGTCTTTGTTAAATACATGCATACAAAGATCTTCCTGATGCTTCTTTCTAAAAAAAAAAAAACTTCAGAGGGTACAGGAAAGAATTCATCTATCTATCTATTTTATTTTTTCATTTTATTTTTGTTAAAATAAAAGAAGACAAACCTTGATAAATCCCTGACATTTTTCTACTGGAAAAAACTTTATTCACTCTAACCAATACACAACACAATGATCAGGATCACTCTTAATAACAAACTGTCATACTCGTGAAGCTGCTCAACTACAACCCACGCACTGAAGACTATTTTAAAACTTAAGAAGGGACACGAATAAAAAAGATTCTGTCTCAGGAAAATTGACATCCCCAAAGTCTTATTTAGTATTATTTTTTACCTCTTTGGAAAATACCGTCCCACCACCCCACTACTTTACCCTCCCCACATACAGTTGATTACTACGTAGCTCACCCAGTTTCCTGATGAGAAACACCTTTAGTTTTATGATACCACCTTTCCTTTATCCCCTACAGCTGATTACCAGGCAGCACCCCTTCACCTTTGTATTCACCATTTACAATCTCATTTAAACAACTTCCTTGACAACACACACACACACACACACACACAGACATCTATGCAATAAAATACACAGTGGTCTACACTCACACATCACATGCACATCACACGTGCGCGTGCTTGTCTACCTTGTATACTATTTATTCATTCTTATCCAGCAAACTTGTTTTTTTAAAAATATAATTAAAGGTTTGGTTTGTTAATCTTGGGTGAAATGAATTTGAATAGAGTGATAATATTGTGTAAATGAGCAGACGGCCTCACAGTGTTGAGTTTTTATTCAAAGATCATAGGAGGAGAGAATGCATATCTCACATGTTGGCCATGTACAGATGAGAGGTGAGCAGACAAAGTTTAAGTGAAGAATGAGAGGCTGGTCATTCACACAGTATAAACACACACACACACGCACACACACACACAAACACACACACAAACACAAGAAAATTCATTATCACATCGTCATTCCACTGTATCTTATTTCATTTTAAATAATTAAGTGTTATGTCAGATTTCTATAGTGGGCCAAAGTGGACCAATGAAATGTAAATATGACTGTGTCTCTGCTGAGTGAAGCAGGGAGAGTCTGCCTGGGCTTTATATCAACAAGTCAGGTCTGATCATTCTTCAAAAATTAAACTTTTCAGAATTTATGTCGTCACATTTATGTACAACAGATTGACCGGGCCACTGGTCCAAATATTTTGAGAAAATGTAATGTTAAATGAACAAAGTTGCAATTATTATTTTGAATTTAAAGAGACAAAAATCACAGTATTTCTATATAAAGTTGTAATTTCTTAAGAATAAAGTCATATTTTTTTATTTGAGTATGAAATGTCATATGTTGTGAGGAGCCCGGATCGGTTAAATTACATGTGTTTTAGTTTTCCTGACAGTCTTTTATATTATATTTTGTAAAAATCACAACTTCATTTAGAAGTTTTACAGCTTTATTCTCAAAATATAACTTTTTCTCATGTTATGATTTTTTTTCCTTAAAATAACTTTTTCCTCAAAAATAATACAAATTTTTTCTAGAAATATTAAAGCTTTTCCTTATTACTTAATTATTCTAATTGTACAACTTTTTTTTAAATTACAATATAACTGGTTTTCCAAAATATTTCCTTTTTTTAATATTATGACTTTTGCTGTAAAATTACAACTAAAACTTATTTAAACCCAAAAATTTTTCTCAATATTAGTTTTTTTCTTGAAATATTGAGGCATTTCCTTGTTATGACTTTTTCCAAATTACTTATTCTTATTGAATGACTTTTTAAAAATCAAATAACCAATTCAAAATATTTATTTTTATATTATGACTTCTTCCATAAAATTACAACTTAATTTAAATCAACTTTTTTCTCAAAAATATTACAAATTTTTTTCTTGAAATATTATGGCATTTTCTCCTAATGACGTTTTCCAAATAAATTATTATAATTTACAACGCATTAAAAAAAACAAAACAAAATATAACTGGTTTTCCTTAATATTTACTTTTTTAAATTATGACTTCTTCCTTAAAATTACAACTTAATTTAAATCCTCAATTTTTTCTCAAAATAATTTGTTTTTTTCTTGAAATATTACAGGATTTCCTCATAATAACTTTTTCCAACTTACTTATTCTAATTGTATGACTTTTTAAAAATCAAAATATAACCGTTTTTCCATAATATTTACGTTTTTATATTGTGACTCTTTCCTTAAAATTACAACTTCATTCTCCTAACATTATGAGTTTATTCTGGCCCTAATACAACCCACAGCAGACACGTGTATCCATATCTTAAAGATCACTGATGAAATGTTTGTGGATGAAAACAGAATCCCTGAGTTACATTTTCCAGGTGAAGAAGTGACATTTCATGGCAGACCTTTCTTTCACAGACAGCTGTTTTTCTTCAACTCCTTTTGTTGCATAAACTCTGTACAGTGAATGAAAAAATGAAGCAGTACCAAAGCTCTAGTAAACGTTTCAAAGTGAATGCAAAAGTCCAACAAGCTACTCTCCAGCCATCAAAGAACGACACAGTTCAAATCTTGAATGAAGTAGAAAAACTGGACATAATTACAAACATGTTTTGTAGAAACCAGGGTGCATAAAAGTGCTTGTATAAAGGAAAAATAATTCTAATTTTTCATATATGTATTTACATATTCTTTTTTGTGCAGCTTTTAGCTAAAATGAGTTGTGGATGATGAAGAGGATGATGATGCAGGCCGGTGTAGCAACAATGCAAAATGACAGAGATAACATATCTCATTATAATGAATGAGAGGGAGGAGGACGTCCTTCTCCTCCACTGTAAACAAGGAATTAAATACACTAGAGATCTGAACTCACTGACTGCACGCTGGCATTCATTGTCTTCAGCAATAACATCAAACACAGTCTCATTCTATTAGCTGTACACAAGGAAAACTGGGGTTTAATACATTTTTAGGGCAAAGTGCTGTGTTGTCTTCAGACACATTATCGTAAAACTAGTTCAGCTCAGCCTCGCCGAAGCCTCTGGTTCTAACTTCCTGAGAGCGTAAGACTCTGGCCCCAACCAGAAACCAGCCCCAGGCCCCTCCTGGACCTGAAAGATCATTAGGTAGACATGAAATGTGACTACAAGTATTTCAGTGTGCCATTAAAAACTAAAAGTCCAGCACTAGGTGTTTTAATATCTAAAGCCCCATTTTCAGTATTAGTCCTGCTCAGACACGAAACTGATTCAGCAAAATTCACAAGTTTGTCCTCCTGAAACTTGCGAAGCTAGCAGGTAAGCTGCTGTAGCTACTGAGCTAACAGTTTACATGCTAGCTAGCCAGGAACATGGTAGTGCTAGCGGAAACACAAGAGTGGAACTTCTGGGTTTTGAGGCCAGGCTGCTAAAATGACCTCGTATGCTAACAAAGTGATCCATTAGCTTTGTTAAAATTATGACACAATCATGCTAAAGGACGAGCAGCTAGCATGAAGGTGACGACAGCTCTCTATAACCCGCCAAGCTAGCTGGCTTGCTAACTGCCGGTTAGCAGACAAGAAGTTCAAGAGACGTGTTTGTACCATCAACTTTTTTCACACAACTGCAAATAATGCTTCTTTTGTGCGGAGGGTTATACAGAGGAAGACTTCCTTCCCAGCTCTCCGTTCCTTCAAAAGTCAGCAGTCAAGACAGATCATTTTTGGTCAATTTGCAAAATTCCCCAAAGTTCGACCTCATGCAAAAACTAAGATTTAAGCCACTTTCATGAGAAAATCTGTTAAATACAAATATGAAAGTTTTGCTGTGAAATCATGAATGCAGGTCTGACCAGGCCTTTAACTGGGGAGCCTGTGTGATTAATTGTGGTGCTAATCTGTATTCTTAATCCCATACAGTATGTAATCTGTAAAGTAACATTTCTAATGGAGATGTACAGGCTGTAATTTGCCTATTTGAATCAGCATCCTAAGGAAGGATAATGCATTGACTTGTGAAAAAAAATTCTGCTCTGTTTAATTATCAGAATTCTGAGATAATCATCTCGATAATTCAGAGAAACAGAGCACAATTTTTTTCTCAAGTCAATGCATTATGCCCACTACAGCACACTCAACATGTTTCCTTCTGGTCCAGTATACACCCGGTTCCAAATTTGAATCTGGCCCATATACAGCGTGACTGTCAGATGCCACTGGACCATTCTGGTGCGCACACATAATAGCCTGAATCTGCCCAGATGTGGAAGTATATGGGCCAGACTTGGGCCAAGGACCAAGGCATATGTTGGGCCAGAAGTTTACTTAGCTGTCTTGGTTTCATGTATGGTCTGTGTTAATGGAACCTATAAAAGCTTGGTGAACGTTGTTAGGACTTGGTAGATATATCCATGTACGTGTGCACATAGAGATTTGAGTGATAAATCCTCTGAGGTCCTCATGTAACACTGGTCCTGTGCAAATAAGGCTTTAGTTTCAAATGAGTGTCTGGACTTTTATTTTTTTTAGGCCATGACGTTTTTAGGTTGTTGTCATTTCCTTTGCAGCAGTTGCTACCTGCCGCATTATCCACAGCAGTGCTCAGATTTAGATTTAAAGGGAAATTCCAGTGTTTCTCAACCTTGGTCTCACTCTCTTACGACAACTGGGAACATTTAACTCAGCACCTGATTGTAGAGATTAAGGAAGTCAAAGAGGGGGAGGAGCAGGAAGAGGAGAGTAAGACCATGTTTGATCTGAATTTCCCTTTAAGAGAGAAAGTGGAGGGCTGTCTCTGAACACGGGCCACGTGAGGACTGAAGCCCTTTCTAAGTGCCAAACTGTGCTGGACTGGGAGCCAACTCTGTGTGTCCGTGGTCCTGGGAGGAGAAGCAGTCGTCAGAGTGGATGAAGTGCAAGGCGGTCTGGTTGTAGCTCAGCAAGGCCTGCTGCTTCTCCTCCGGGCTGTAGTCCAGGGAGTGGGGGTGCACCTGCTGGATGTGCCTCTTGATGGTGCTGACCTTCAGCGTGGCCAGAGTGGCTCCGCACACGATGCAGATCAGCCCGTGCCTCCTGCAGTCGTAGTCCATCAGGTACTCCATCCGCCAGCGCACCTGGTAGTTTCTCCTCTGGTCCTTCCCGGGGTAATGGCCGTGACGAGAGGGCGTGGCCGTGGCCGTGGCTGTTGCTGTGGTGGCGCTATCCCGTGCTTTACCCTTCCGCCCGCTCACACCCTCCTCCCTCTTCACCATTTTACTGGGCGTCATGACATCATGGGAGGCATCCTCATTCGTCTCTCCTGTGGTCGCCTCTGTCGGGTTGATTTCTGCTAAAACAATAAGTTCAACAGAATGAAATGACTTTACTTTAATAAACCGCATCTATGAACAAACAAAGCTGCTTCCTTATATTTCTGTATGTTAAAGCTGCAGAGTGTAAAGATTTATATATAAGAAACTCTGTTTCATCAGCTGAGACCAGCTCCACTAGGACACACTCACTCATCCTGGACTCTTAAATATGAACCAGCTGCAGATTCTTTGCCTTTCTCAAATACATGCATAAATAAACTTTGTAACTGGGGTCAGTGAGCATGTGTAATGGTCACATGATAACTCTGAACACTCTGCTCTGACTCTGGTTTTTAACAGAAACATGTTTTTATTCACTCATTCATCACTTTGCTGTTAAGCTACTGTCAGTGTAATCACTTCATCACTTCCTGAAAATGTTCAAATTACATGCGTGGAACTCTCTCTTCTTAAAAAACACTAACAAAAATACAGCTGCAAACAGTGATCTGGGCGCCAAGTAGCCCAGCAGCCCAGAGTTGCCATGGAAACATGATGTGATTATGTCAAGGGCATGGTTGTAAGCACTCACAGCAAGTTTCATGTCAGTTGATTAAAGACTGCCTGAGATATGACTTGACTTCTTGTTTGGCCCCTCTGCCGCCATTTTCGATTGGTTGTTATGGTTGAATGCTTTTGTAAATTAAAAATCCATGTGATAGCTTTTGTGAGTCTTGGTCTGAAGCTCATCTGTGCCAATTTTGGTAAAAAGACTGGACAAAGGTTGTCCAAGGAGCAGCAAGAAAACATTGAATTCGGTTGGATCCAAAGAATACAATGGCTCACGGTGAACGCACCTCCAAATTTGACCTGTTGGTGGCGCGGTGGTGAGGCACAGACATGAAACTTGTTGGAAAGCACCATGGGAGTGTCACCAATCAGTGTGCCAAATTTCAAACCACACAGTTCTAGGGGCTGCAGAAGAAGATTAAAGGAGATGATGAAGGACAAAAGGCTCAGTTGCTTGGCCCCCAGTAACTTGGCCCTTATACCACAGTTTCTAACACTTTTAACTTCCAGCTTTAGTTGACTTCCTGCTCCTGTTCTTATCAAGTTTGAATGAACTTATTTCAAGTTACACCAAATAAAAGTATGAAACATCTGTGCAGGAGGTGTTGAGTTTTGATGACGCAAGCTTAACATCTGGAGAAAAAGGCAACACAGGCTATAGGAAATAATTAGTGTATGAAAATTGTGAGAGGTGAGTATGAATCAATGTGTTGTTGTGCTGGGGAAATGTTTGGAATTATGGTGAATTTATCAAGTAAACATGAGAAATAGTTATGTAATTTAAAAGTAAACCAAAGCAGAGCAGAAAACAGGGAAACACAGACGTTTGTACAGTAGCATGGCGAACATCATCTCACCATCTTGACCCTGCATCCCTCCTCCAGAATAATCTTTGGTCCAGGCAGCAGCCATGGCTTCTCTTTCCTGCCGGCTCAGGGTCGTGGTGTCAGGGTGACATTCCTGGATGTGGCGGCGGAAGCTGCTGACCTTGGTTTCGTGCAGGACCTGAGAGCACACCATGCAGAACGTGTCCTGGCCCTGAGGCCCGTAGGCCACCAGGTAGTCGAGGCGGAGCCGCCACGGGTCGCCCCCGCGCAGCCGCCGCTTCTTCGGCTGGCGGAGGGGCTGGGGTCCCTGCTGCGGAGCTCCGACGCCACCGTCCTCACCAATAAGACGAGTGTCCTGAGTTAAAGTGCCATCGCCTTCTGGGTACAAGTCCGTGTTGATCTGGATGGCCTCCACATCCTGAGCAAAGAGGTCCACCCCGCCATCTTTGGTGCTGGGCTCTGATTTGATTGAGTTTTCTGACTCTTCTGTCATGGGGCAGAGAAACATACAATATTTAAGATAAAAAAAGATATGAAAGATCATCTCTAACAACTACACTTCCCATGAGGCTTCGGCACAGTGCCTGTGGCCGGGAGGTAGAGTTAGGGTGACTGGACATCCAGGGTGCTTGGCTCACCATGTTACCAAGGCAACACTGATCCAGATAAGCAGCGATAAAAAAGGGTTGTTGGGTGCTGGCGGGTGGATGTCAATACATCTCAAAGGTCAGACAGATAAGACTAAACCGTAAGATGAATTTATCAAACTACACAGTCACATACTTTGTTTACTTTATATAGTTTTTAGGCAGTTAACCGAACCAGTCTGGATCAGTGGTTTTTGGCGTTAAGTCGACCTCTTACTTTCCTTAATACCAACCGCACATTTAGTTTTTGAGTGTTGTGCTGACTGATCTCACCATGAGTCTGAGCCCAGGCCTGCAGGATGCAGTGCTTCTCCTCGGAGCTGTAGACCAAGGAGTTTGGGTGGGTGTCCAGCACGTGGCTCTTGATGTGGTCCAGGTGAAGTGAGGGCAGTTCTCCTCCACACACCATGCACAGCAGCCGGCCCGCCTCCGCCTCGTACTCCATCAGGAACTCCTGGCGGAACCAGGCGTGCAGCGAGTCGTTCAGGTAGCGCTCCAGGGTCCGAGCTGACGGTCCAGGGAGATCCTGCCCCTCCTCCTCCTCCTCCTCCTGAGGCTGCGGGGCCTCGACCTCCTCAGACTGGGGCGACAGACTGAGGGGCTGTTGTGGCTGCTCTTGGGGTGTCACAGAGTCAAGGGGTTCTGCTGAGAATCAAAGAGGGGACGTCTTTACAACAAAAAAAATAAAAAGATACAAACACAAGAAACACAAGTCTTTTTGATACCACCACCAGGGGGCACTAAAGTCAGACATTTCAGTGATCTGTGGAATTTTTACCTGCTACAGTCTCACGTGGTCGAGCATGCTAACACAGACAACTGACTCTACTTTATTTGTGCTACACTAATTACTATTACCAATTTAGTAATTATCTCTTCATTACTTACTTTTATATTTAATCTAATGTGGAATGATGCTTGTGTGCAAACTAATGCACTTTTTCTTTAATGCACAGGAGGGTTCATCAGTGAGGTGTACAGTGGCAGGAGGTGTGGGAGAGGTAACCCATGCAAATCTACAGAGAACATGCAAAACATAAAGGAGAACGTAGGCTATGAAACGGCTTTATTTTCATATGGATGTTGTTGGAAATGTCTTGACCACGAGTAGAGGAAACTAGCTTTCAGGAACGGCAGAGCAGTTAGATGAAAAGAGAGATGATACAAGTCGAGATAGGTTGTTTCCACTGTCGGATATTTGACTGTTAAATTAAGACACTTTCACACTGTGGGGAAAATGCGCTCTGCGTCCGTCTGTTCTGATACAGAAAGAAAATGATGTGCACGTGAACACCGTCTATAGTTACATGTACTTAAGTAACAAGTAGCAAGAATGAGATGAGAAGATCAATATGAATCTCATATCTGTGTGTTTAGGGGGCGCTCTGGTGGCTCACCTGGTAGAGTGTGTACCACGTTGGCTCAGTCCTTACCACAGCGGCCTGTGTTCGAGTCCGACTCAGGCCCTGTGCTGCATCATCCTCTCTCTCTGTTCCCTGGCTTTCCTGTCTCTCTCTCACTGTCCATATCATAATAAAGCCAAAAATAGCCAAACAATGTCTGTGTGTTTAGTAAAAAAAAATATGTCTGTGTTTAGTAGAGAGCTGGAGCCAGGACGTGGTTAACCTATCTTAGCATAAAGTCTGGAAGCGGGGGGGGGGCAGGTATCAAAATCACAACTACCAACACCTCTAAATCTCACTGATTAACTTCATAGTAAACACAGGCAACAGATAAAACTGAGCAGTTATACTGTATCAAATATTTTCCTTTAAATTAATTCTTGTAATTAATAAACCAGGCCCAATAACTGGAAATCGGCCACATGGTGGCACTGTGATTAAGGCTTGAAAATGCAATTTTGGAAAGGTAACGCCCCCTCACAACATCAGTCTGATGTTAGAATAAGATACTGACAAGTAACTTCACAAGGGGCGGGGCTTAGCAGGAAAACTGCCATAACTCATTAATGATTTGTCCAATCAGCATCAGAAAATCTGAGCGCATATCTGAAGTCAATGTTTGGGTACAGGCCTACCAAAGCATTTTGAGCCCAACCCACAGGGGGCGCCACAAATACCAAAAACGTGTACCTCAAATCCCAGCCCCAACTCTGGGCACAAGTATTAATCAATATCTGAAGTGTCATATTTATTGGTGCAAGTGGGCGTGGCCTGTCACATATTTGCTCAGAACTCAAGATGCCTTTGAACAGTCCTTAAACTAACTAGATAACTAGAGACTTCCTGAGATATCTCGTGAACATACACATAGGGATGGCAATCGAGAACCGGTTCCAGTTGAGAACCGGTTCCAACTGGTTCGATCCATCAACATCATATGCCTTTATGATTAACGATTCCCTTATCGATGCCCTCCACTTTAGTTCTGCTTGCCTTGCAAAACAATGATGTCACGCCTTCGAGGAAGTGTGGATTAATTTCAAAACAAACATGAAAAATTTGTAGATGCAGCACAGCATTAAATATCAGGAGTGCCATGTGTTTGAGGCTCCACGCTGCCAGTCAACGAGTGCTTCCCAGTCTCAGCAGAGCAGTGAAGGTACAAATTAGTGATGTGTCAGTGGCGAACGAGCTGGCTCTTTTAAGTGAACGATGGGGAGCCGTTTTTCTTTTTTTTGGGGGGGAAATTGATACAAGGCAGACCTAAAGAGGCAGACAGCAGCCCCTCCTCAAAGGATCTACAACTACAGAGCAGTTATCTATCTTGTTCAGTGTTCAGAGACTCATAATAATATTTGCGTTGTTGACACTGAAAACCTGTACTGGCCTACTTTTTCCACACAGAAAATCCACAGGAATCGATAAGCAGAATCGATAATGGCATTGGTATCAATAAAATCTTATCAATTCCCATCCCTACATACACACCAAGTTTTGTTCGAATCTAATGAAGGGGGGACAAATGGCTAAACATCAGATCTGCAATTATTGAAATGTTGCAGGCTGTGTGATGATGAAACAAGTGTGAGCTTGTTCTCACTCCTTCTTTAAACAGAATTAAACTACCTGAAGTGACTTTGCTTTACCTGAAGCTTTTTGAGGCCTGAAAGCTGCTCATTGCTGCTTGTGGCTTTAATTTAGGCAGATTGAGCTTCTTCTTTCTGTTGAGCACATAAGGTCTTGAATCTGGAATCACTGCCTGCTGCTGTATTCTACTTTCGTTTTGCATTTATCTTGTGGGTTTTAATTTCCAGCAAAGATCCTGTCAAACCAGTGTCATTTTACAGCCAAGTTGGAAATCTCATATTGAAATATCAAAAGTTAAAGTAATTCATTTATTTGCCTTACATGTGGAAAAGGTAATCGTTTAAAATTGAGTAGTGTCTAAAATCAAAATTTTAAACATGATTCTATTGTGTTTTTTTTCTCTGTCATCTTAAATATAGTTTAGACAAGCTACCAAGAATCAGTGCATCATTACATCATTGTCTCCTCCTCACACACCGGCTACAACACAAACTCATACTGCCACCAAGCGTGGTATCAACAACACTTCTACCTAATCCAGTCCAGGTAAAGTCCTACCCACCAGCAGCATGTTGGCCTGAGTCCAGCTGCTCCTCTTCCTCCTGAGGTGAAGGTCCAGCAGCAGAGCTGTACGACCTATGACCTCCCCCCAGGCTCAGGTGGTTCTCCCAGCCCGAGCGGATCACCTCCTTGTCGGCGGCGCTCCACAGCAGGGAGTCTGGGTGCTTCTGTCTGATGTGCCTCTTTATGGTGCTGAGCTTCAGCGTGGCCAGCGAGCTGCCGCACACCATGCAGATCATCCCGTGCCGCTGGGGGTCAAAGTCCATCAGGTACTCGCTGCGCCAGTACTCGTGGTAGTAGCGGCGGTGGTCCCGACCCGGGATCCGGCTGAGGCCTGGACGCGAGGCTCTCTGGACCCTGGGTTTTCGTCCAGAGGGCCCAGGGACTGGGGAAAGGAGGAGTGGGTGGTCAGGGCCCTCTGTGATGCTCCAGTAGGTGGTGCCTGGAGATGTGACAGGTGTGACCATACCAGCCCCCGATTCCTCCTCCTCACCTCCACCATGGCCATTGGCAAGACCGTCCTCTTCTGACAGAACAGGACAGAACACAGATCAGTCCTGGTCTGTTCAGGGAAACTAAAGACCTTATAATATCTCATTAGTATGAATGAATGATCCTACTCTTCCTCTTTTGACAACAACACCATCACCATCATTAGGTTTGTTATACTCGAAGGATTAAAAACTTTTTGTTAATTTTTTATATAATAAGAGACTGTATCTAATGTGGATCTGACCAATGACAAACAACTTAATGATGTCACTGCCGAGGCAGAAGGCTCAGTAGTTAAAGTCACTTTTGTGTGGTGGCTGACAAGGGCAAATGCGTTGCACTGTCCCAAAACACTTCCATTAGGAGACATGAGCTGCAAATACAGAAATGATGCAGATTCAAAAATACATACGAAGATACAAAACAAATACAAGAATGGAAACGTGCTGCAAATGAAACTACGTGCTGCAGGAAGCCAAAACAAACACATGAACAACAAACACGCCCCCTCTAGGGGGAGCTCTAAGTGGAAAACCGGCATAAGCTTGAGCTTTGAACCAAGAGTCTAAACCTGTGACCAGACCTTTGACTTTGGACCAAATGAGAGAGTATGAGGGAAGAAAGAAAAGATTTGTGTTCTTTTTTACATTTGGCCATAGTTTTTACAATATTATAAAAGAGCAACAGTTAACGTAGCAAGTGTTAGCATTAGCTTAAATACAGTCTATGGGTTTTCCACTTAGAGCTCCCCCTAGAGGCTTGGAGCTCTTCTGTTGCGTTGTCTGGATATGCAGTGTTTTTTGTTGTTGCATCGTTTCTGAATTTGCAGCACATTTCTCCTAATGAAAGTGTTTTGGGCTATTGCAGCGCATTTGCCCTTGTCAGCCACTGTACTTTTTTACTAGTGCACTACACTGTTACTGTCAATAGAAGACAGCTCTATTAGATATATGGTTTGTAATAAATTTGCCAATACTACTGTATCACAGACAAGCAGGAATATGTTAAATAACAAGAAATAAAAGTAAAGTATACAACACATATAACATCTATGTGCATATATTGTGTATATGTTTTTTGTGTATTAGTGCGCTCATACTCAGATCTGTCTTGGTTTCAACTGCCAGATGAAACACAGGATCAGCTACATCATGAGAAAGAAGCATAAACATGAAGAAGGAAACATATTACATATATGTAGGGAGATTTTCTCAAAATGTTTTATGTGTTACTGTTTGATTGATAGCTGGACATTACATCACTCTTTATGAAGCTCAGCTTCCTCAGGTGTTTTCACCTGTCAGGTGAAGGGATTTCCATGTTATTGATTATCTGATACAGCCAGGAGTGGACAACAACAGAGTACATTTACTTGAGTACTGTACTTAAGTATACTTTTCCAGAGTCTGTTCTTTACTTGAGTATTATTCTTTTTGTAAACTTCTGACTTTTACTCCACTACACTTACAAGACAAATATTGTACTTTTGGCTCCACTACATTTCTATGAGGTACTCTTACTTTGAAACAGAGCTTTTTGTCAGTGAATGGATTTTCTCTTATTTTGAAAATGCGATAGACCATACACTGTGTTCATCACAGAAAAACCAATCACTGCCAACTCCTCCACTGTCAGTCATGTTTGAACCTGTCAGTGTCCTAACGATGGCGTTAGATAAAGATGAGGCAGAAGATTAATTTAGTTTGAAATGTTTTCTGTGTTTACCACAACTAAACTTCATCACTGACTAAAAACGTTGATGTCCAACTTGAGAAAGTGTGTCGAGGGACAGTAAGTAACGTTTGTTTTATTCCACTTTAAAAAAGACAGCTTGTAGTAGGTTGGTCAAATGACTTATTGCCATTTCTATAGGCTTTATAGCATATTCAAGCTTTTTATTCTACAGTAGATTCTACAGCTGTTATCACACAGTTTGCTAAAGTGCAGTCAGCAGCTTGTTTCAGAGTCATATGGTTCTGTAAATGTGGAACAAAACAACACTGTGGTGACATAAAAAATGTACTTTTGAATACTTCAGTATTTTTACAATCAAGGACTCCAGTACTTTAACTCCACTAAAAATCTTACTTAACAACTTTCCCTTGTATTGGAGTAATATTTGACCAGGAGGATCTGTACTGTGACTCAAGTAATGGAGCTGTGTACTGTGTCCACCTCTGGATGCAGCTCATTTCATCCAACATCCTTTAGTATTGTTGTTGGTTCATTGGTGTTACTCGGCCTGTGCCGCCGCTGCCCACTAGGTGGCAGCGGTGTGTCAGTCCGCCTGCCTGCCTGCGTGCTGTTGAGCCTTTGTTTATAGGAGCCACAGAGACGGAGGGGCCATGCTGCTCCATGGCATTGTCCCTGACACGGAGTAACTGGCTGCTTGACAATGGCCGTGGCTCTGACAGCCACGCAGACCCACTTTGCGATGGGAAACAGCAAGAATAATAACACTAGTTTTTTTCTCTTTACCTCCCAGGTCACTCTCCTCTTGCGTCGCTTCCTCCTCTCCGCTTATTATTAATGAGAGCAGCTCAGCCTGCTCGGCACACCGGAGGTCCACGGGCTCCCCGGGCTGGTTCTCTTCCATCACTGCCCGGCTGCTGCTCTGGTCGTGGCTGCTGTTCCTCCTTCACTGTAGCGTAGCGCTGAAGCGGGACATGTCACACACACACAACAACATGTCACAACAGTACCACGCTCACGCCGCTCGGCTCCGGTCGACACGCATCTACCCGCCGCTCTCTCTCTCACGAGCCCATCGCTGAGGAGCCCGTGCTCTACGATGTCCCCCCACGCGCCCCGCACGGGAGCCAAGTTAACTTTTCATATAATCACACAATCATGAATCCGGCGCGACCAGAGCCCGCTCCTCGTCCCGCTCAGTGGGGAAGCGCCTCGGCGCAGGCCTCCAGTAATGTATTTTAAGGCTCTTGCTTGTCTTCAGGGTGGGGAGCCGGACTAGGGGCCCCTGGGGCTCCTTAAGGGGCTCCTGGGTAAATTTAAAGAGACAGTAGCAGCGTCGACAATGCACACCCACCCCGTGAGGGAGGGGGCTGGGGATGGTGGGGGTGGAGGGGCAAACGGAGCAGCAGGCGCTAATACAGATAAGCTGCTAATACTAATGCTGTTGTTCTCACAAAATCATGCGGTGATGGAGGCGGTGTGTCGCGGCAGAGCAGCGGTTAACACACGAGGCGGGTCCACTACACCTCAGGGCCCCACCAGCTCCAGCTCCTAATGTTCTATGATGGGGATCCCATATGGTATTTACATAAACCCTGTGTTTACAGTGAGGGTCTACAGCGGATAATAACCCGTGTTATTATAGCCCATATAAGGCTGCAGCTAACCCATACAGAAATATAATATAACATATATGTCTCTATATCAAGAGTGATGTTGCCATATGCGTCACCTATATTATTATCACATATATACATCCACTGAATATATGTTATAACATATATAAAATACCCACGTTAAAATTTGAATATGTATGTATATCAAAAATATCTATATGATTAATTTTTACATGGTATAAGATGTTGCGACTATGTTTTTCTTATTAATTTATCACTAATTTAAAACATGTCTACTCATTCTGTGAAAGTGGTCTCAGACTTTTGAACCCTACTTTATAATATCAACATATACTGACAGGCTTTGGGATGGATATATATTATGTAACATATGTCTACAATATAAGCATACATACATAAATATAGATATTTGTATGGGCTAGACATATACTGTATATCAATATATGAAATTATTATAATTTCTAATAGGTTTTGTATATATTTTTTACATATGTGCTTTTATAGTATGTGTATATGTAATATATGGAAATTCAATATATGCATATATTACATTTGCGTATGGGTAACAGCTATATTCATTATTGATTGATCTGTTTATTAATGGCTGGATTGATCAATCAATTATCTGTTGACATGTTCAAACTGCTGGTTTTGTCTGAACAAAGGCCAAAACATAAATATTTAGTTTATCAGAGAAGACAATGAAAACCATACAGAAATGTAATGTTCGTATTTCAAGAGTGATGTTGCCATATCTGTCAGCTGTAAAGGGGACATATTATTATCACATATATACATCCTGTGGTTACATGGAGATATAATTTTAAAACGTATGAAATATCCAAAGTAAAACTTATGTATATATATATATATTTAAAAAATGATGGTATATCATGTTGCCACTATATATGATAACGATGTATTTTTAATTTATATATGCAAGTTTATTAAAACAACATACTCTACATGTTTATATATGTTTTTAAAAATTAATTTGTCATTCATTTTCAACATGTCTATCTTTCCAGTGTGGGAAAGTGGTCACAGACCTTGGACTCTACTGTATATAACATATACTGACAGGCTTTGGAATAGATATATATGTTTATGCAACATAATATAAGCATACATACATGAACACATGTCTTTGTATGGGTTAGGCATATATGTCAATGTATGAAATTGTTCCAATTTCAATATATAATTTTTATATGAATGTTTTTCTTTATATGTACATATATATATGGAAATTCAACATATAGGCCTACATATATTACATTTGCATATGGCCCAGCAGATGTGCATTATTTGGTGATCAAAATTGTTCTAATTAATCATCACATTCAGTTATTTGGTGTTATTTATTGTAATTTGAGATGATACTGAAATGATATATATTTATATTATTATATTTTGTTGGGCATCCCATCTCTCCTGAATTAAGGTTGTTAAAAAAAACTTATGCTACTTCAAGCCTCCTCCTCTTCCTCCTCGTCTTCTTCCTCCTGCTACTTTTGGTTCATCAGACTCAGCTGTAATGATGAACATTTCTTTATATTATTGAAACCATAAATGATGTCTCTTCACCCATGTAGTGGCTCCCCTCTGGTGGTGGTTTGGGGTGACTGGCCTTAAGGGATTACTTTAACTTGTTAATTTTCTTTCAAAATTATTATCTTTTTTTTTTTCTCTCTTTCATTATCTTTGATGCATTAGCCCTGTGTTCTCCCATGTAAACTGCTCTGTATTTTGGAAAATTTAATAAACAAATTGTTCAAAAAAAAAAAGAAAAAAAAATTACCCTGCAGCTTCTGCACAAAACCCAATATCAATTGAGGTCATGTGTAGAGAAAGCCAATAAATCAATGGACCTTTGTCCAGCTGCTCCAAGCTGGAGAGGACTGTAGCTACATCCTCTGACACTGGATTTTCTTTTGATCAATAATTGAATTAGTCTCTTCTCCCAATATCCACGCTTCACCAAACAGAAAAATGACAAATGAGGTTTAATTAGGAGCTGTCAGTCACATGGACACATCAGCTCATTATCAAGTCATTGTCATGGGTTATAGGGTCTAAAAAGGAAAGGGCGGGGGCGTTGTACTGTACTGTGTATGGTTTCTGTGTCCACACACACACACACACACACACACACACACACACACACACACACACACACACACACACACACACACACACACACACACACACAGAGCGAGCATCCAGGTCCCACATCCTGGTACTTTTTCGCGTTGTCAAGGCAGCCTCAGCACGGCAGGCAGGCGGAAAGTAGCTGCAGTGTCCTGGCAAAAAATATCTGTCCAAAAACGTTCACTAAACTGTCCCGGAAAGTTAGGTGTAACTGGAAGGTAACGGATATGCATGTTTTTCTTCCACATATTTCCTCTCGTCCCGCTTTGACACAGTAAAGCGCGGGTTTCCTCTCGTCTTTTAGACAGGCAGCAGACTCAGACAGGCGCCAGTCCGTGTGGACAACAGCAGGAAGAGCTTGTCCATTGTGCCGCTGACAGAGACACGGCGCTTTAGGCTCCGTTCACGCTCTAATGTGGTAATTTCTTCACCGAGTTTTTTGTATGTGTTGTTCGTTGTGTTTCGGCCGAATCGTTTCGTCGCTTCTCTGATCAAACAGAGTCAGAATAAAGAATAAAAATGGCTCTCGACAGATATAATTTGTGATAGAAAGGGACAGGTTTAAAGAGACAGTGTCGCTCCGCTTCCTTCCTGCTTCCTGAAGCTTCTACATTTCCCATACGCGACGTGTCTGTGTCACCACACACTGCGGAATCAAAATGCTTCATATTTATATTTTATTAATGTTACATTAATATATATTACCAACTATAAGATGTAGTTTGTCTCAAGACGGAATCGCACTGTGTGTGTGTGTGTGTGTGTTGTGATAGAGCAGTGGGCGTTTTAGTCCCTGTGCATTGTCTTGATTTGCATTTAATCTAATTTAAAGAAGCTTCAGTGGAAATGGAAAGTCTGTTTAGGAAATTTAGTCAAGGAAAAAGTTACCAAAACAACGTGTGAAATGTCCCAGATCTCATGTACATATATGTGAATTCATGTCTCACATGTGCTGAAATGTGAATTTATCACGGATCTGAAATGTGATTCACATGTGATATACATACATATAAGATATCTTACATCTCCAACGTGAGGTATCTTAAATGTGTGCCTTTATGGTGTCAGTGTATAACACGTGAAAAGCTTTGATCACATCTGAAATACTAATTACATGTTGAATTTTATGTTTGGTTTTTTTTTACATTTTACATGTTAAAAATTTGAAAATAACTTGTGCCTTTATCATGTAAATTTCACATGTGAGAACTAATGTGTGTTACTAAATTTGTTTAAAAATCACATCAGCAGGTAATGATGGATCAGCTTTATCCTCATTGGCTGATGATGTGTCTCAAACTGGAGCAATAAGTGTGAACTACAACCTCAAAAATGAACACATAGTTGAATGAACTCCTCCCTGACAGTGTCAAAAGACTTGAATATCATAATCTTTCTAAAGGTAGAATATATGATGAGTTTTATTGGACTGTGTGAGGTTGTACCAAATACAGTGGCACCTGAGTGTTTAAAACAACTTAACTTAAATGTAGTCATTTTTGCCTTAAATCACTGAGAAGTTGACCCATGAAAGCAGGTTTATTACAAAGTAAGATCCAACTAAGACTTGTTTTCTGTTTCTCAGGACACCTGCACACCAATGTGATGTCTGAGAGATTTGGCAGCTGCTCAGTGGAGCGAAAGCACCTACTGCAGCGTCATATAGGAGGACGGCATGTAAGTTAATGGCAGTGAGGAATCTAGACTGAAGGGCTGAGCCAACCAGTACTGTTAGATGAGAACTGATGAGCTGTCCAAGCTGGCAATAGCATGCCAACTGCAAAAGGTAAAGGTGGGTCAGCGTCCCACCGCTACCGACCTGCCTCAGAGTACGATGATAACACCCTCGCCCAAAAGAGAGAATACTGGAGGACCAAGAAACGAGAGCAGAGGGCCCGACTGTCGGAGCGGAGGGGAAAGCCAACAAAAGACAGTCGAGGGGAAAAGCTCCTACATCTAACTGGCCCTGCAGCGGTGAATTCCAGAGTATCTGGTTCCTTTGCTACTGCCTCTCTTCCTATGCAGAGTAATCATGAGACATACAAAACAGTCAAGGTCTCTCCTGCATCGAAGAGTGGAAATACAGTGGGGGACAGTTCACTTGAAGCCTCCGAAA